TGGAAGAGGATGCTAATGGGCTTGCTCCCTGTGGCTTGCTCAGCCTGCTTTCTTATAGAGCCCAGGACCACCAGCCTAGGAGCGGCACCTCCCACAGTGAGCTGGGCCCTCCCCATCAATCACTAATTAAGAAAATGCCACCAGTGGTGGCACACGCCTTTAATCCCAGCACTTGGGAGGCAGAGGCAGGTGGATTTCTGAGTTCGAGGCCAGCCTGCTCTACAGAGTGAGTTCCAGGACAGCCAGGGCTAAACAGTGTCTAGGCCTGATCTTATACAGACATTTTCTCAATTGAGGCTCCAGTTTGTGTCACGTTGACATAAAACTAGCCATTACAGTCCCTATTCTGGGTTTATATTTTTTTAATTTATTATTTGTGTTGGCTGTGTGTATGTACAGGTCTGTGGATGTCATAGGCCAACCATGGGTGTTCCTCAGGAGCCACCCACCTTGATTTATTTTTAATTTTTGTTACATTCATGTCCTGTGTATGGCATATATAGGGGTCACATGCAGGAGCTAGTTCTCTTCTTCCTTGTGGATCCCAAGGGCTCAAGTCCTCAAGCTTAGCAGCAAATTCTTTTACATGCTGAGACATCTTAGAGGCTAACTTTGCTTTGGAGATACGACCTGTCACTGCATTGTGGGGGCTCGTCAATTAGGCTCTGCGGGCTGGCCATCAGGCCTGAGAATCTGCCCCTTCACTTCCCCAGCACTGAGATTACAGATGTGCAGCACCATGCCTGGATTTTGGGGGGTGGAAAGGGAGTTGGGTTTTGTGTTGTTTTTTGGTTTGGTTTAATTTTTTTTTCAAGATAGAGTTTCTCTATGTAGACAAGGCTGGCCTTGAACAAAGATCCACCTGCCTCTGCCTCAGAAGTGCTGGGATTAAAGGTGTGTGCCACCCAGCCTAGCCCACACCTGGTGGTTTATGTGGGGACTGGGGTGTAATTCAGATTCTCCTGCTTTTACCAGCTGAGCCATCTCCCTAGCCCTACAGCATCATTTTCATTTCTTTAAAATCAGACTAAAATTGCTTCCTTTTGTTTTCTGAGATAGGTTTTTCATAGCCAGTGATGGCAATCAACTCCCAATTCCTCTCCCTCTGCCTCCCGAGCCTGGGTTTTACAGGCCTGTTCCATCACACCCTCTGAAACCAAATACTAGAAATACATGAAGAGAGACAGGAGAGATGGCTCAGCAGTTAAGGGCACTGACTACTCAATTCCCAGCAACCACATGGTGGCTCACAACCATCTGTAATGGGATCTGATGCCCTCTTCTTGTGTGTACAGCTACAGTGTACTCATATAAATACAAATAAATAAATCTTAAAAATAAAAGAGAGAGAGAGAGAGAAATGAAAAGAAATACATGAAGAGGCGTGAATGCCAAGCCAAAGCGAGGAAGGGCTTCTTTTCCAGCACGGTTCTTTGTTCTGCTGGGCCCTCTGATCCCCAGGGAAGGCCAAGCTCTAGAGGCTGTCTGCTCTTAAGGTTAGCCTTCCATGACTTTTTTAGGAGGTTAGTGGTAGCTGAAGGTGGAGTTCTCAATGACTGAATGTTTGTCAATTATGCATGAGGACCTGGGTTCAATCCTCAGCACCACATAGGGCAGATATGATTGTATATGACTGTAATTCCAGCAGGTTCTAGTTTCCTTTATGTTGCTGTGATTAAAAACCCTAACCACAAGCAACTGTAGGGAAGAAAGGATTTACTTGGCTTATACTTCCAGGTCACAATCCATCAGAGAGAGAGGTCAGCACAGGAGCCCAAGGTGAGAACTATGGAACGCTGTAGGCTTGCTGGCTTCTGGCTTGCTCCCAGGCTCAGGCTCAGGTAGCTTTCTTGTACAGCCTGTACCCTCCCACACCAGTCACCAGTTATGTCCCTCACAGACATGGTCACAGACCAATCTGATCTAGGTAATCCCTTAATCAAGACTCCCTCAGATGACTCTAGACTATTTCAGATTGACAGCTGAAGCTAACTAGGACACAGCATTTGAGAGGTGGACACGGGACACCTAAAGTTCAAGGTCATTCTTAGCTACACAGGCCAGCGTGAGCTACACTGAGACTAAAATAAAACAAGGCGCTAGAGAGATGGCTCAGTGGTTGCCCTTCTAAAAGAGATAGGTTCAATTCCTAGTATCCACATGGAGGCTCACAGCTATCTAATTCCAGACCCAGAGGATCCAATGTGGTCTTCCAGGCACTGGGCCTGCATGCGATACACAGATAAATGCAAACAAAACACTCATCCACATAAAGTAAAAATAAATAAAACAAAAAATATAAAATAAAATAGGGCTAGATGGCTCAGTATGTGTGAGAACTGCTGACAACCTGAGTTTCATCCCATTATCTACCTGGCAGACTGAGGGAACCAACTCCCAAACTTGGCCTGTAACTTGCACATGCCCACTGTGGCTTGCATGTGTGTTTGTGCGAGGCACACATACCACAAGATAGATAAATACTCAATGTCTAGACGTAAGCATACTTAGCATGGTCTCCCCTGCTCCTTTTCAAGGTTGAGGTAACCATAAACAAGACTCTGTTTTTCAAAAGTACTTCTTCTCGTGTATATTTGCTTTGTCTCTGTCTCTCTTGAGGCAACACAGTTCAAATAGAACATATGGGAAATGTCAGGACCTGGAAATGCAACTCAGTGCTTTCCTACCATGTGAGAAGAATCTCACACAAGCCTGGTGTGGGGTTGATGGCTTCCCTTTCCTGGCTGTGACTCACCTGCCTACATGGCACCTTCCACAGCCAGGACTGTAAGAACTAGAGCCGCCTTGAACTAGATTAGAGCTGACCCTTCAGACCCCAGTCCCCTCACTACACTCTAGCTTCAGGGTTGTTAGTAGGACAGTACTGTGGGTGCCTCAGTTAGGGTGTGACTTTCTCCCTCCTTGAAGTCCTTCGGTTAGAGATGGTGTTGATCCCACGCTTGCTCCTTGACCACTGGGTTCCTTTTCAGAGGATAACTAGTGGTCTGTTGTCCGACTCTCACTTCACATGGTTCAGAGAAGGGCACCACCACTGTTGATCTGTTTTTCTCCTTCCTGGTTTGTTAAATATACAGCTGCATTAACTCATAGGATTGTTTGCATATCCAATGAGAAAGTATGTTGGCTACATGGGATGACCTGCTTCAAGAGCCATTCTTGTGCTGGGCAGTGGTGGCGCACGCCTTTAATCCCAGCACTTGGGAGGCAGAGGCAGGCGGATTTCTGAGTTTGAGGCCAGTCTGGTCTACAGAGTGAGTTCCAGGGCAGCCAGGGCTATACAGAGAAGAAACCCTGCCTCTTAAAAAAAAAAAAAAAAAAAAAAAAACCAAAAAAAAAAAAAAGAGCCATTCTTGTTAAAATGGAGAAGCAAAACTCAGCTCTGATCTTTATGTATTGCTCAGGAGCCCAAAATTGTTGATTCTCCAACCTCAGCCACTTAGCTAAGTGCTGAGATTACAGGCATATGTGCCCACACCCAGTGGTCAGAGTTTCCGTTTTGATTTAGATGTATCTTTGGTTGAGCTTTTAATTTTTTTTATTACATTAGTTCATGAGAATATCAGAGGACAGAGGTCAGAAGACAATTTGTGAGTCTGTCCTCTCCCTTGCATCGTGTAGTTCCAGGGATGGACTAGGCTTGGTAGTAAGCACCATTTACCTACTGAGTCATCTTACAGCCCAGTTTTGTTGGGGAGGGAGGTGCTTACAGTGTTTGTTTTGTTCTATTTCCTGTGGTACTGGGGATTAAACCTAGGGCCTCATTCCTGCTAGGTGAGCACGCTACACTGGGTGGCATCCGCAGCCCCAGTTGTATTGTTTGAACAGCAGCCACCTCATGACTTACTGAGCATAAACTTGTAATAGACATTATCTCCTTCCCAGATCCCAACAAAGCATGTTAGAGCTCTGAAGGGATCTTTGCTCCTTCCTCATGCCCAGCTCTGTAGTCCAGCTCGCCTCTTCCTCCCAAGCACTGAGATTAAAGGCATGCACTACCCCCTCCCGGATAGTTTATCTTTTCTTTGGAGTTTATCTGAATTCCCATCCTAGAAACCTTTTTCTTTTTCTTTTTTTTAAAGATTTATTTATTTTATGAATGTGAGTACACAGTTGCTATGATCAGAAACACCAGAGGAGGGCATTAGATCCCATTACAGATGGTTGTGAGCCACCATGTGGCTGCTGGAAATTGAACTCAGGACCTCTGGAAGAGCAATCAGTGCTCTTAACCACTGAGCCATCTCTCCAGCCCCTAGAAACCTTTTTCTGACTTCTGCTTTAGCTCAGTTTTGAGTGTGTGTCATTGTGTTTTACATATTCTATTTCATACAGTTAGAGATGTATAAAGTCTTTGAGATTAGAGAATGCCCCTTTGCCTCTACCTCACTGCATACAGTTGATGTCCAGTTGAATGGAGACAGATGTCAAGGAGAGTTAGGCTGTATCCTACTTCACCTCAGTCAAGATGCTGACTTGGGCCAAAGTAATCTTAGGGGGTGGAGTCTGGGCTCAGTTGTTCAGAACAGAATATGTACCTACTCTTGTAGAGGACCCAAGTTTGATTCCCAGTACCCACGCCAGGTAACTCACAGTCACCTGTAACTCCAGCTCCAGCAGCAGCACCTGGGTCTCCTTGGACACTGCACTCGAATGCACATACTCCACACAGATATATACGCATATAATTAAAAACGATACCAGGGGTGGTGCCACATGCCTCTAACCCCTGCATTCCAGAGGCAGAGACAGGTGGATCTCTGAGTGCAGGTCAGCCTGGTCTCCGTATCCAGTTCCAGGCCACCCAAGGCTACACAGGAAGATCTTTTGTCACAAGGAAAACTCGGCCTGGCTTTGTAGCCCATGTTTATAAGCCCACCACTTGGAAAAGATAAGCAGGAAGATCAGGAGGAGTACAGTACATAATTACATACCTACTTGGACACTGTCTCTAAATAAAAATAATAACAGGCCTGTGTACAATATGAATCCACTGTTTCATGAATTTCTGTGTCATCCTTGCTTGAGAGCATGCTAATCTTCCCTGATTCGTCCCACTTTTAGTATTTGCGCTGTCATAGTAAGTGCAGAATAATAAATCTTTTTAAAATTTTATCTTAGGAAATTTTAAGCAGCTTAGGCTTCATATATTCTCAAGAAAAGTAGTTTTTCTTGTTTGAAACCAGAAGAATCCTTTTCTACTTGATAACTCAAATAGGATCTTCATCATATATGAGTTTTTTCTTGTCTTTGACAGGCTGCACCTTAAGTGGCCAAGAGGTCAGATTCACTGTCCACTACGAGCATGGGTTCACTATCACCAGAGACAACGGAGGCACCAGCAGCATATTGTATCGCTACCCCTTTGAACGGCTGAAGATGTCTGCTGATGATGGAATCAGAAATCTCTATTTGGATTTTGGTGGCCCTGAGGGAGAGCTGGTGAGAATGGGTCTGAAACTGCGAGCATGGTGATGTGGGTGTGTCTGCACTATCGTCCTGTCTCACGTGGCTTCTGCTTTGCTTCTTGTTTGCGTTCCTTTATTGTGCTGAGTAATGAACTGAAGGCTGGGCATGTGCTTTACCTCTGAGCTCCATCTATCCCAGCCCTTCACTGCTTTTTACCTCCTGTGTAGAAAGTTATGGCTTGACATTTGACATTCCATTAGTTTTTAAGTTTTGTCTGAGAACTGGGAGATAGTAAAGTGTTTGCTCTACATGTATGAGGACATGAGTTCAATCCCTCCCCCCCGAAAAATCTACATTAAACAAGCTGGATGTGTAGCACACATTTGTAAGCCCAGCACTGGGGTGGCCAGGATATAGATCCCTGGGTCTTGTTGACCATCCAGCCTGGCTTCTGTGGCAGGTTCCAGGCCAGTGAGAGACTCTGTCTCAAAAAAGAACTTGGAGAGAGCCATTGCAAAGGCTCAGCAAGTAAAGACCATCACCACCCCACCTCACGATCTATGATGGATCCTCCAGGAGAACCAACTTCCATAAGCTTGTCCTTTGATATCATGTGCTTTGGTACTTATGCATGTGCACACACACACACGCACGCGTGCGCACACATACACACCAGACATAAACAAATAATTACGAACGTAGCTCAGTTACTAAGACTGCTTGCCCAGCATGCGCAAAGCCCTGTGTTTGATCCCCTGCACCACATAAATCTGGGCATGCTGGCACATCCCCATAATCTCAGCAATTGAAGTTCCAGGTGGGCAGATCAGGAATTCAAGGTTATCCACAGGTATGAATAAGTTCACCTGGGCTATATGAAATTGCCCGGCGAAATTGCCTTTTTAAAAAAAAAAAAATTAAAAATAAAAACAAAATGAAAATGAGATATCACAGCCAGGCGGTGGTGGTGCACGCCTTTAATCCCAGCACTTGGGAGGCAGAGACAGGCAGATTTCTGAGTTCGAGGCCAGCCTGGTCTACAGAGTGAGTTCCAGGACAGCCAGGGCTACACAGAGAAACCCTGTCTCAAAAAAACCAAAAAAAAAAGAAAGAAAAAGAAAAAAAGAAAATGAGATATCACATCTAAAAAGTATTTAATACCATTGTTTATAAAGTGTGTGTAGGGCTGGAGAGATGGCTCAGCAGTTAAGAGCACTGGCTGCTCTTCCAGAGGTCCTGGGTTCAGTTCAGCACAGACATGGCAATTCACAGCTGCCTGTAACTCAGGTTCCTGTGGATGTGACTCCCTCAGACAGACATATATGTAGGACAAACACTAAACGTACATGAAAGAAAGGAAAGGAGAGAGAGTATTACAGTCACGACTCATGTCTCTTCTCCACAGACTATGGACCTGCATTCTTGTCCAAAGCCGGTTGTATTTGTATTGCACACGTTCTTATCCGCCAAAGTCACTCGCATGGGGCTGCTTGTGTGAGCAGCAAGAGCAGAGAGCTTTGACTGTCACAAGAAGTGTCTCCACCTCACACGATGAGAATAAAGGAAAAGCAACAACAACAGAGAAGCACAAACAGAAGCCCTTGCTCCCTCCATCACAGTGCCTTCCTGAGGACCTGCAGATCACTGCTGGACCACAACAGGGTTTTAGGAAGGGCCGACCTTTCCCACACAGCCTTGGTCAGAAGTTCTAGAACTGTAATAAGCTCCGAATCAAAGCTGTTGATTTATCATCTTATTTCATAATGTGACCTCTAAGTAATTAGGTTTATTTTCCCCGTTATGAAGTCTGGCTCTTTGGGTTTCTCTTTGGACATAAACAAATAGGGAAAAGGGATTCTCCTTTTCTTTCTGTAAGAATCTTTTGGGCATAGCCTTGAGCTCTTCCTAAGATAATTGTCGATCCCCAGGTGCTAGTGTGCAGCTGCCGTCCCTCAGGCAGATTCCCACACAGGCCGATTGCACCAGTGTTACTGTCTCCACCTTGGAAATCCTTGAGCATCATCCTTCACCCACCCTGGCTCTCACTGGCCCCACCCTCTCCACCCTCCCCACCCCACCTGTAGCACCAGCTCTGCCACCCATAAGTGCTGCTTTTAGGACTCAGAACTTGCACAGTCTGGTTGTCTTTGCCTTCGCTCCCCTGTTTTGTGGTGTCCAAGTTGAAAAGCAAGTTGGAAACCACTGCTCTGAAAGAGGAGTTTTGCTTTCTTTAGTCTATATTGAGTTTATATTTGGTAGGAGCCAGGGGATGGTCTACAGTTTATTTTGAAAGATCCTCATTTTAAGCTAAGCCATTTCTTATTGCTTACCAACTGTGCCTTTGGTTAGGATGAGTGGAGCTTTATTAGTGACAGTTTGGATGACTGGGTCTCACTGCCACTCCAGAGATCTCGTCAGCTTTCAGGGGTCATCCTTGAGGTCAGTTCCTTAATGGCGTCTTTCAGTGGTAATTTTGTGGGTCAAGCTAGCTTTGCAGCACAGATGCCATATCAAATGGCACAGGGCACTGTAAGGCCAGGAAAGATCCTGGCATTGGTCTTTGGTGGCCCCAAAGTAAGGACAAGTCACCTCCAGCTCAAGGTTTAACATCGGCTTCCTAACACACCCTAGGTGGGCAAGGTGACGAGAGAGATCATGGTAGTCACCTGCATTTTGTTCAGCATGGCCAAGTGTTGCCATGACTCAGTGTGAGTGTGACTGGAAGATCTCCTCAGTTGGAAGGGAGAGTCGTCTAAAAGCGTTTGAAACATTCTCTACATAAAATATCAAGATTCACACAGCCCCTGAATCTGAACAAAAAGGAAATATCAACTTAGAGTTTTCTAACCTCTCTGAAAACATGTCTAGAAACAGCTCTTGTTTTCTAGATTTCCCTGGAGTGCTGCACAAGGATGTGACACTTCCAATGGGGAAGAGGGCGAAAGGAAAGAAAACACAGGTGTCTGCGCAGAACCCGAGCTGCTTTGATTGACAGGGTAGCCAGAGGAAAGAGCAGATGCCCAAGCAGAGGTGTCACTCCGCTGTCTTCTGCTGTCTGTGAGTCAGGCCTCCTGCTCTGCAGTCAGACTAACAGCATTCAGAGCTGGGGAGAAAGTCATAACCCTGAGATTGTTTCCATACATGATACATATTTAACTCAAAAGATACAAAAGAAATGTCCCAGCTCTGAGCACAGAAAGCCGAGTGCTCTAGCTCCTGCGCTGAGCTAGGGCTGTGAAAGGCGGGACCACCAGGAAGATTGACAGGTGCCTCTGCTACCCTGTTCTTAGAAGAGCTGTAAGCAGGTGTGCTGACAGCCAGATAAGGTGTGTACGTGGTCTGGCTGAGGACAGTGGCCACAGGGTTTAATACTATCATTTGAGTCTTGTAAAATGAAGGCCTATGGGTGATTTCTTTGTCATTAGCAGCCCCAAGAGCAAGGTCCTAAGCTGCTTGTTCCAGAAGCTGTAGCAGCCACCCCCCCACCCCCAGGCAGGTGATCAATTAGGAATTTTTCAGACCACAAGTGGAATGTTTTTTGTGAGTGTGGGACACCTTGATACAAACCTATATTATCAATTTTGTACTCAAATGCCAAAATATAGCAAAATATTTTCAAAAAAATAACTAAAAATAGGTATCTTTGATAATTCACCTCTTTTATAGAGTCAGCTATATTATCTTTTCTTTTTCATCTTGAACAATGTTGGTGGTGTTGTGGCTCCCGGTGACAAGTGGGCAGGAAACTGCAGAGCACTTCCTGTTGAGATGGACCACTTCCTAGGCAGCCATCTTTGCATTCCACACAGACCCAGGACACCCCTGCGAATGAGAACTCTCCTCCCTTCCCTGTAAGAGGACTGAAGGAAGCTGATGTTAATGACAAGTCTTGCCTAGAAATTGGTATCAAATATTTTATATAAAGAAATACGTGTGTGTATATGCCATATTTATTAATAATTATAACTGAAGTCACCAACTTACAGTTTCAGATTAAATCTTGGGACATGTATGGGCAATCAGGAATGTTAGTTTAAATGCCATCTGTCTGTTTTGAAGCCATGTTTAGCACTTTTTAGACTAGGGTAAGTCTGATAGTGCCTGATGGGGTTTTGTCTTTTATTTTTGCCTGAACTCTTAAAAGTTTGTTACTGGAAATGATTTGCATGGTAAGAGAGATTGAATTATTTATTTTTTTATATAGAACAATCTCTCTACCAACAAATAGCTCACATTGTTACTGATTTGTTTGTTTTCCTAACTTTTTCTCCTGGACAGAACAGTAGCAAAGCTTTGTTCAGCTGAATAAATACACTTAGCTGATAAACCAAAATGTATTCCTTCAAAACAAGAAATTATCTGTTATCACCCCCTCAAAAAATTAAGCTATGTGGAATTTGAACACTAGTACCCCTCAACCCTAGAAAAAAAAAGGTTATACTATGAGTGATTTTGATGAACAAAAATGTGTGGGGAAAGTTACTGATTTCTTAAAATTTTGTAAGAAACTTAGTCTTCTAGTTAATTTAAATGCATGTGAATTTGTTTGTTTTCAAAACCATGGAAGAACCTACCCATGTGTTTTAATGCAAATCACGGTCAAAGCTGCTATGCAACTTCCTTAGAAGTCCTGCCTGCCAAAGAAGGGAGCAGGGGAGAGTGGGAGACTCCAGCACTTC